AAAAAAAACAAAAAAAAAACTGGTGTAGAAATAAATACAAAGTGTCAAAAGAAATTTTTTTTTTTTTGGTTTTTCAAGACAGGGTCTCTCTGTGTGGTTTTGGTGCCTGTCCTGGGTCTTGCTCTGTAGACCAGGCTGAGCCTCGAACTCACAGAGATCCGCCTGGCTGTGCCTCCCGAGTGCTGGGATTAAAGCTGTGTGCCACCAACACCCAGCTTGTTTCTTGAATCAGAGTGGGGAGATGCTGGTGGAGGAAGTTTACGGCAACATAGGTGCTATTGATCTCTAAAAGGACTGAGATATACCAAGGCCAGACACTTGCACTATCATTTCTAGTTTGATACAATTCTTCTGAAGGGTTTTGAGCCAACAAGGCCAGGCACCTGCAATTCCACTCTGTGAAAGATCTACGAGGACACTTTGGCCAATATTTACCTTTTAGATGTAGATGTAACCAACCGTCTTATTAAATAAGAAACACAGAACCAATGTAAAAGAGAAAGCCAAGAGGTCAGAGCTCAGAGCTAAAATCTCACCCTTCCTTCTGTGGTGGTCCTAGCTCTCCGAAAAAGAGCTACTTCCTGTGTGTACGTCTTTTCATAGTCTTTTTGTTCTGCCTTCTCATTGGTTGTAAACCCAAACACATGACTGCCTCGTCACAGTCTGTATGTACAGCCCCCCAAGTCTTAAAGGCATATGTCTCCAATGCTGGCTGTATCCCTGAACACAGAGAGATCTAACTAGCTCTTCTACCAAGTGCTGGGATTAAAGGCGTGTGCCACCACCGCCACACTCTTGCTATGGCTCTAATAGCTCTGACCCCCGGGCAACTTTATTTATTAACATACAATCAAAATCATATTTCAGTACAATTAGAATACTACCACAGTTAGTGGCTAAGGATGGAGAACAAGACCTCAAAGTTCTACAGTCCATATGGAAAAATAGATCTAGTATGAAGCATATTTTAGTATGTTTGTGGTGGTATTGTGTTCCCCAAAGTATTGTGCACCCTAATAAACTTATCTGGGTTCAGAGACAGAACAGCCACAATATTAAACATAGAGGATAGGCAATGATAGCACACGCCTTTAATCCTAGCATTCCAGAGGCAGAAATCCATGAGTTCAAGGATCCAGCCAAGCATGGTGACTCACGCCTTTAACCCCAAGAAGTGAGCCTTTAATCCCAGAGAGTGATAGCAGAAAGCAGAAAGGTATATAAGGTGTGAAGACCAGGAACTAGAAGCTTTTGGCTGGTTAAGCTTTTAGCAGCACAGTTCAGCTGAGACCCATTCAGGTGAAAACTCAGAGGCTTCCATTCTGAGGAAACAGGATCAGCTGAGGAACTGGTGAGACCTTCTAAGAGTCCTACTACAGTATGTTTCTATTCATAAAAATTGTACAGTTAAATAAGAAAGCATCGTCTAGACTATCCACAATTATGTGCCTACTCCGACCTCAAGACCCCTGGCAGCGGCCTAAGTTCCTCCTCAGCCCTCTGCAAACACCAAGCCCCATGACTGGTGGGCCACAATGACCTCAGACAAGAAATCTGTCCCTGCATGTCAGCAACTTCTGTCCTTCTATATCCCAAGAATTCCAGGGAAGACCTGATCCAATTTTCAGAGCTTCCATGAAAGGAATCTCACCTTTTCTGGCAGCTCTTTTCAATCTAGGAACCCAATAAACCTTGCAGCAATCACTCCAACCATTGCCACATTGTCTCCACACTCCTTCTGGAGGAGTCAAAATGTCTGGATTAAAGTTACCATCTTTTTTCCTTGGTGCAGGCCACCATCTTCCTCCTATTCCAGGTTCCCACACTTCTAGTGTGTCATCCCATCTATACATTACTCCATCCACAGTCTTCGGCCAGTACCCCTTAGGGTCTCAAGTTTTACACAATGTCCTTGGAATAGCCTCAGAAACTGAATTATTCATCATGGCCAATTTGAATCCAGTGTGCTGATACACATCATACCATGTGCTATAGTTGACCACACATTCGGTACAGTTTATCCAAGCCTGAAAATCTTCCCCAGGCTGCAGGTTCTTTCCCATGACCTGCATAACTAACTGTCTTGACCCCAGCCTGGGTGATCATCTCTGTATAATTCCCTATGAAATTTACTTCACTCCTTTCCTGTATCACAGAAATCACCATTGATCTAGGAACACAGAACATGAAGATCAGATAGAAGAAAAAGACTAGCATTATAAGAAGTAATTATATGGAGGAGAGCATGACATGTGCATGCCATATAGCATGACCTCGGGACACGTAGGCATTTCTGCCTTGGCCCTCTAGAGGCATGCTAAGGAGGGTTGATGGTTCACAATCTCGGGTCCCTCACCTCCAATCTCTACTGGCAGCACGTCAGGCATCTTATATGCCATCCCTCAAAAAAAAAAAAAAAAAAAAAAAGGAAAATTTTTGAAGCTCGAGATGTTTTGAGACTGTTTTATATTCTCAGAGAACTTCTTGGGGCTCAGGGTAGCTGGATTACAAGGTGCTGGAAGCATTTAGCAGGGGGCTGAGCACCGACAAGGCTGCTGGAGGACTGGGGTCTGGAGACCTGTGTGCTGCTTCTGTGCTGGGGCTTAACTTTGTGGGGCAGGTACTCTGCCTGAGCAGGGAGACATGATCAGGTTTGTATTTGAAGGGCTGTTCTGGTGAGAAGGTCTGCAGATTAAGATGGGTAGTAGTGGAGCCAAAGGGGCCCAGTCCAGGGGTCTTTCTTCAGCTGACTGGTGGTGGTGTGGTGTGTGTGTGTGTGTGTGTGTGTGTGTGTGTGTG